GGGAGGGCAGCACCGGGCACAGGGTGCTTGGCATGGATGAGGGGTGGAGGACTGGGAAAGCGGGCATGTGATGATTTCAATGTGCATTATATTTGGGGAAAAAAATTAATTTCACTCTTACAACATTTTAGTCACTAAATCAACTGTGTTTACTCATTTTCCCCACAGGCTCCAGTATGTCCCAGAAAGTTATTCAAGACCAGGAAGATATATCCACAAGGGAGGGGTCAGCAGTGACCCTTAAGTGTCAGTATGAAACAAGTTCAAACTACTACTATCTTTACTGGTACTCACAGCTTCCTGATGGAAAGATGACACTCCTTATCTCTCAGCATTCTATGAATAACAATGAAGTAAAAGGTCGCTATTCTATAAACCTGCAGAAAGCAGACAAATCCATCTCCCTCAACATTGTACCTGTACAATTGGAAGATTCAGCCATGTATTTCTGTGCTCTCTGGGAAAGCACTGTGTTTGAAGTGATAGTAAAAGCTGAACAAAAACCCCAGTGCTAAATAAGAGAGAGAACCCTGCACAGGAGCAAAGCAAAAATGACACTTGTGCATCCCAGACAGACGGTGGCAATGACTGTGGTTGCTTCCTTTGTGGTGGCTCAGGAAGTGACTTTGAGGAAAATCTCCTTCTTTGTGTCTGGAAATAGGTGTACAGAGGAACTCTCTTCTCATACTTGACTTTATCACTCAAAATCGAACATGTGAGCAGGTAGGTGTGAATATTGAGAAACTGCCCCGTCCTCATGTCAAGTGGCGGCTGCACTTAAAGATGTTCACACCACGAGCAAGGCCCAGTCACCTGAAATCACCGTGGAAATCATTTCCTTAGCCCTTTCCTCTTGGGCTTTGTGTCAATTAGATGCAATCAGAGAAGCAGAACTGTTACAGGGTAGCCCAGAGTGGATTGGGCTGCCTGTCTGTGGGTCCTCACCTGCGCGCTCACAATTCTGTTATACTGCAGGTACTCACAAAAGGGTCAATAACAGGTTTATTTACAAAAGGGGAAAGGAATAGGAAACAATGCAGGGAAAGAGAGCGGATACAAAGTAACTGCAATACCTTACTGAACACACCAAGTCACGCAGTCCGGAGAGCCATTTCCCGAGCAAAAGAGAGAGCAATCGCACCCTATTTATCCCCCAAATGTCCCAGAATTCCTGCTAGCTCCGCCCTCGGGTCCTCGCAGTTCTCTCCCTGGTACTGCTGGGAGTTGTAGTTTCCAATCACTGGAGTAGGGTGTAGGGTCCAGAAAGCTGGAGTAGGGGGTGGAGTCCACAAGACTCTGCAGAGTTCCTTTAGGACATCCTTCCCCTTAACAGAACCATCATGTGTGATGCACAATAAGAGATTCACTACAAAGCTTAGATCTCATGCCACTCCTGGAGCTGGTAGAAAAATCTGTGCAGAGCTGTTGTGCTTGTGTTGGCTTCACAGCCTGAATTTGCATAATGTTGATTAACATTTGTAAGGAAAATTAAATGCAGATGAAAGAATTGACCAATTGATCTGTTTGTTTTCATATTAGGATCCATGAAGACTTCTAGAACCCAGAACTACAACTCTCTACTGTCACCTTCTTAAGCTCATGGGGTTAGTACCTTCAGAAGGTGAGGGTATCACTTGATGCTGCTATACGCAGACCCTGCCCAAGACAGAGAGGAGCTGAGAGAGGAGACCTGTGGGGTGGGGCTGTGGTCAGCACTAAGCTGAGGGGCAGAGCTGGGGCAGCACGTGTGAGTTGCCACCTGCCTGGAGCCGGCTCTAGCCTGCAGAAGACAAAGCATGGTTACTGCCCTCCAGTTCTTGCATAAACCTCTGCAGCCAACACCAACCTAAAATAATAGAGGAAAGCAAGTTCTGGAATCATATTCCCAGAAATTTAAGTTGAAAAATACAATGTTACCTCAGTGCCCTGCCCAAAACAAACTAACCCTCCTCTCAAAAAAGGATGAAATTTATTTATTCATCTTTGGGTAAAATTCTAGCTCTTCTTGCTCACCCACACTGTCCAATTAATACGTGTAGTTTAAGCCCCTGCCTGGTGGTGCAAAGCACAACACTTGAAGTGTCCACAGTCACTGCAGCACGAGTTTGATGCCCGGCCATGGAGCTGACCCACGTGGCACAGCGGATCTCTCATCTTGCCCACTGCTCCCTCAGCAGTGTATTTCAGCACATCTGTCTGCTCTGCTCCCCACTCTGTCTCTGGTGAATCCTCTCACCCCCTGCACCTCTGGTCAGTACCCCAGTTCTTGCATTCATAAACTTAAAAAATCTTTTAAAAATCTGTAGTTTAATAGTGTGTTGATTTTGTGATTAAGTGACATAATTAACAAATATCATTAACTTTAATAAGCTAATCATAAAATACTGCTTGTATGCAGGTGAGAAAAGGGAGGAAAATGATTGATATACATATGATTATATTTGTATAAAAAGTTTCCTAATTATTTCTGAAAATAATCATGTGGTGTTTCTACTTCTTCCATAACCTTTAGTTTTCCATCCCCATTGCATGCAACTCCACTCACCTATATAAAATAGGTTTCTTATTCAGGAACAATACTGTATGGAATGCTATAAAACGGAATAAGGAATTCTGCAAGTTCATCCATGCAGTTCTGGAAAAATATTGCAGACATAGCAGGTAAATCCATATTGAAGTGTGTATCCAAGTGTGGAATATTTTCAGTATCCAAAGACAAATTGATACACTCTGTTTTGGGAAACATAATCAAGAATGATACCTGCCTTTTCATCAGAAGTGATAGAAGTCACCAAAGGAAACCACTTTCAAAGTGCTGAAATAGAGCATATATAATTTTCAAATGAGTTTCCCATGAATATGAAAGTAAAACTTTCAATTTTGTTGTTGTTGTTGTTAAAAGTCACTGCTAAGAATGTGGAAAGTCATGAACAGACTATTAAAACTAAATTTGCAATGGATATTTCTGGAAAAGGACTAAATGCAAAATACGGAGGAAATTCATGTTGATCAGTCAAAGTTTGGGGCAAACCAGACTCTGCTCTCATCTTTGCATAACTAGGTGGGCAATGCAACATGAGAAACCCCATTTCCTGTGGGGAGCAGCATCACCCCCAGGAGCTACATAAGCGCCCGTCCAGGCTCTCAGAGACCCTGGGCTTCCCGCTGGAGGCACAACTGCCACCGTGTCAGGCACACACGCCCCATGGCACCCTCCAGCCTGCTGTTGGCATTGGTAGCCTTCACCTCCTCTGGTAGGTTGGGGTCAGGTGAGGGTGGTGGGGGGGGCGGGTGAGGAGGGATGAAGGGATAACACTGGGCATGTGGTGCTTGGCATGAATTGGGGTGAGAGGAGGACTGGGGAGAGCAGGCATGTGATGATTTCAATCTGCTTTATCTTTGCGCACAGTTAGTCTAATTCTTACAACACAAGCTCTTTTTTTCTGATGTTCCCTCACAGGACCCAGTGTGGCCCAGAAAGAGTCTCAAGAACAACCAGCTATAACTTTTCAAGAAGGGTCAGCATTCACCATGTACTGTCGATATGAGGAATGTGAGAGTGAATACATTATTTCGTGGTATAAGCTGTCTCCTGCTGGGAAGATCTCCTTCCTTATTTCTCAGCATTCTAATAAGAACAATGTCATACAGGGTCGCTACTTTATAAACTTACGGAAAGCAGACAAAATCTTAACCCTCACAATTTCACCTTTACAACTGGATGATTCAGGAAAATATTTCTGTTTTATTATGGAACACACTGTATTTGGAATGATAGTAACAGCTGAACAAAAACCCCAGCGCTCCATAAAAGCAAGAGCCCTGCTCAGGAGCCAAGCTAAAATCACACCTGCCCATCTCAGACAGGCGATGGTGGTGACTGTGGCCTCTTCATCCGGGATCTGGATCAAGGGACTGAATTCTAAGTAAAACCTCCTTCTGTGTTATTTTGAAACAGGTGTCCAGAGTAACTTTCTTCTAGTACATTCTCAGTCATGAATGTTTGACTTAAAAATCAGTCACACAGGATATGTGTACAGTTGCCTACATTGAAAGAACTTGCCCCAAATAATTTCAAATAACCGCTGCATTTAAAGATGTTCGTTCACATCACAAGCTGTAACTAGTCATCTGGCATCATCATGAAAATCATTTCGTGAGTTCTTTCCTCTTAGGCTTTGAGTCAATTGATGTAAAAACAGAGAAGAGGAACCATGAGTGAATTAGAATAAGAGATCAACTACAAGGATATGATCTCATGCCATTACCAGAGTTGGTAAAAGAATCTACAAAGTGATGTTATGTTTGTATTGACTATGGAAACTGAATTTGTAATAAAACTCTTAGTGTAACATTTGTAATGTAATATGGATGTGGACAGAAACAAGGACAAATTGATCTGTAAGGGAATACTAGAATCCATGAGGCTCACTGGAACACAGAATATCAAGTAACAACTTGTCTCTTCACCTCCTCAACCTCACAGGGTGGGCCCCTCCAGGTGGTGAGGGTCCACTTGCATCCTGCAACACGTAGACCCAGCCCAAGACAGATGAGAAAGGAGACCTGGAGGAAGTGGGGGTGGGGGCTGTGGACGGCACTAAGCTGAGGGGCAGAGCAGGGGAAGCAGCTGTGAGTCGTCACCTGCCTGGAGCCGGCTCCAGCCTGCAGAAGACAAACATGGCTGCTACATCACAGCTGCCCTCCAGGTCTTGCACAAACCTCTTGATGGTCAACTTCAACCTAAAACAATATAAGACAGAAAATTCTGGGGTATATCTCCATAAAGTTAAATTTAGATAATACAAGTTTACTCCAGTGCACTGCCAAAAAACAAGTTAGTCCTCCCCCATTTATCTGTTCTTTTTTTTTTTTTTAAGATTTATTTATTTATGCACACAGAACTGGGGTACAAGCGAGAGGTGCAGGGACGGGTGAAAGTATTCACCAGAGACAGTGGGGAGCAGAACAGGCAGACTGACAAAGTACACTGCTGAGGGGAGCAGCGGGCAGGTCAGAGGTCTGCCGTGCCATGTGGGTCACCTCCGGGGCGGGGATCTAACTCACACTGAAGAAGATGTGGGCTCGCTTGCAGTGCTGCATCCTAACCCCTTGCGCCACCAGGGAGAGCCTATTCTTTTTTTTTTTTTT